CCTGTCTTGACCATTTCTATCAACATGCTCAATACCATGGCCTGCAGATGATCCTCTACTGGATCCACACCTTCTCACTAATTACATACTTGGAATTCCTGCCCCAAATGTGTGATTTGGGGCCCTGGACAAGATAAGCAGCAGGATCAGGAGTAGATAGGAGGAGGAGCCACAAAGTCATTAAACCAGGGCAGCACTCACTCCAAGGGTGGCAGTACCCTGTCCCAGGCATTTCACCAGCCTCTCTAGGCCCAGCATGGTAAGCCAGCCTTAACACAAGAAAGGTCTTCAAGAGAATGAAAATGGGGAAACTTGGAGAAGTGACTATTGTCTTCAAATATGTGAAATGATATAGAGATTTATCCAATGCTATTCTGGAAGACAAAATTTAAGCCAATTTCAACTTCAAAAAGTTGTTACAGACTAGGGACTGATATTTATAAAATACTGAATGCTGAGTGATTTCGCTCAACCACACAGCTGAGTGGCTATGTTATCACTGCTATAGGAACAGTAACCAGACAGGCCAACTGACTGGTCTGAGGACATTAAGTTACAGTGATGACTATAACAAAGCAGGGCTGACTGCTCTAAAGCCCAAGCTCTGAACTCCAACACCAAATACTCTGTGTCAAATTATAACAATTAAATTGGAATATATTTTATTCAAACCCCAGCCTTCTATCTGGGATGTTATAAATCAGACCTGAAGAAGAAAGAATAGACACCTCCAAGGGGTATTGCCAAGCCAACATGTCAGCAGGGGTTTGAAGATACTAAGATAGCATGCACTTCAGCTTCAGGGGCCGCCAGCCTAGGGCACCGAGAGTAGTTATGTTGCTTACCCTGTTTCTTTCCTTTCTTTCTTTCTTTCTTTTCTTTTCTTTTTTTTCTTTTCTTTTCTTTTCTTTTTTTTTTTGTTTTTTTGAGACAGGGTTTTTCTGTGTTGCTTTGGAGCCTATCCTGGCACTCACTCTGGCGCACAGGCTGGGCTCGAACTTCACGAGATCCGCCTGCCTCTGCCTCCTGAGTGCTGGGATTAAAGGCATGCACCATCAACGCCTGGCTGCTCGCCCTGTTTCAAGGAAGCATACAAATACTCATTGTCCTTGGGTCCTGTGATGCGAAAAGTCCAGAAGGCTAGGGAGAAGGGGAGACCTGGTTTTCCCACCTCATTAGCAATAGAAAATTACAATGAACTGAGATTTCCCACCCAGAACTGAGCAGAATCAGCTGGAAACCCTTTTTTGAAAAACCTGACCTGACTCTCATTCCAAGCAGTTAGCTCTGAATCCCTGGGGGCAGGTGGCTCTAGTGTTCAGGTGACAGGCAGGATAAAACACTTCTCTGGGGGACACAGCAAAGAAGTAGAGAAAGAATTAAGTGATGTATAATAAGTCTGATTTTGCCCAAAATAATCACTAGCTATAAAGCAAGAGTTCCAGTAATCTGAATAAACTGCATTTAAACATCTCTGGCATCCTGAAGTTTTTAATTAAATTATAAATCTTGCTGCAACTTTTTACACTTTGGGACCTTCAGGTCCTTGATATCATGACCACAGGTGCTGGGGAGCCTTTTTTGCTTTTGTGTGCATATTCACACGTTCTGGTACATGGCAATGATAACCTCTAATGATTTGAGGTCAGAGTTAGCTACTTCTGCGTTATAATTCAACCAGTTCTCAGGAAAAACAGATCTGTATGTATGTTGCTAAACAAATATCCAGTAGTAAGTTGGCAAAGTAATTTGTTTATCTGATTTATGAGACCAATGTAGCTCTAACTCTGTCCCTTTGGGTGCTCCAGTACACCATGATTAAAATACTGAGGTAAGCAGTGGGAGTCCCAGGAATGTGTCCCATAGGAAGAACACTCCATCGGAATCTACCTCAACCAGTGGCCAGACACTCTCCCTGACTGGAGATTAAACAGGTACCATGCTGATATCTACTCATGGGTCTGAAAGATTCCCATCACCTGTTCAAACCTAAACCGGTGTAGTCAACCCATATATCTCTTAACATGTAAAAATTAACCGGGCAGTGGTGGCGCATGCCTTTAATCCCAGCACTTGGGAGGCAGAGGCAGGCGGATCTCTGTGAGTTCGAGACCACACTGGTATACAGAGCTAGTTTCAGGACAGCCTCCAAAGCCACAGAGAAACCCTGTCTTAAAAAAAAAATCTAACCAAGAGTTGTGATGCATGCCTTTAATAACAGAATTCGAACAACTGGAGCAGGCTGATTTCTTTAAGTTCAAGGCTAGCCTAAAACTATACTGATGTCCACTAAATGTAAGTACTTAATGATTTAATATTCAAAGAGCTGGTAAATTGGAGGAACTGTTTTCTTCCTGTTGTCATTCACAAACCTAAATGAGAAATATGTACTTCCCATGCCCTCTGTTTACTCCAGAAGATACATTTGAGGAGCTTCTCATGGGAGCTCATTAGCACCCTGAGTTAGCTTCTTACGGAAGTTCATACAGTTCTTATTATGTGGATTATTTTGGCAGGTAGTTCAGGCCATGGGCTTCAGTGCAGTCCACCCTGGCTTAATTTATTGTTTTCACTGTTACATAGAGAATTCCAGGTCTCAAAAAAATAAATAAATAAAATAAAATTTAGTCATTTCACCAATGATGCCAAGCTCCCTTTGGGTATTCAAAGTACTGTCAAAGCTTCTGATATTAGAGACATTATAGGAGAACATGTGGTTTGTGATGTCATGCTACCTGGCCATTCAGCTCCAATGCTGACACATTAGGCAGCTATCTATAAAAGTAAAGCTTCCACTTAAAATACATGATATCTCTCTGATTATAGTGTAAAATGCAGCTGATCTAGCAGTCATTGTGTAGCTCGGGGACCCCTTTAGCACTCATTATTGTGCGTCTTATTTTCCTATATGTCTGAAAGTATTCTTAGTGGCTAATGGAAGGGAATGGCTGTGTGAATAGTAAGTTATCTGGTTTATTTGGAAAACACAATACTATTGATGGTGCTTCTAACAATGCACAGGGCTATGACTGAATTCGTTCCATAGCTTATATTAAAGATGGTCTCATGGAATCCAGCTCCTGCTTATTCCCAGGGCCACTGGAGCTCAGGCCTGGGACAACATCAGTGGACTCACAAATCTAAATAATGATAAATCAAGTTTTGCTCCAATTAATTACTTGCTCACAAGCGAATCTGTAACTTCCCTGACTTAAGGAAGTTGGATTGGTCCTCAGCATTCCCTTCAAATGTTCTGTCCTTGTTTATCAGGTAAGCTTGTGATGTACTTGAGGGCACTGCCAACCAGAGAACATTTCTAGAAACCAATATAATCCATATTATGTTACATTTCATTCTATGAAAGCAAATCCATATTTTTACAAATTCCTAGAGGCCAATGTTCAACCTCTCCTATTATTAAATAGATATTCACTGAGTTACCACTGTTCCAAAAGATACACACAGTTCCAAAGAAACGACAAGGTGCCTGCGCTTTTGACAGACACTAAACAAGTCCTAAGAGTACACAACAAATTGAAGAGGAAGGGTGGAGTCATAGCATGACGACTCTTTAGCCAGCCATAATGGCATGGTTTCTGTTTAGAAAATTGCTGCCGAATAAGTGCTGCCCAAAATATTTTTCAACATGGAATAAAAATAGAAACCAGTCCTTTGCTCTAAGCCATTCTGTGTTGTGGCAAAAGTTACAGACAATAACAGAGAAGAAAGAGACTTGGCCTTTCCGTAGTGGGCAACAAGAGCACGTGTGTCAGGCCGTGAGACATCATGCCTCCCTGCACTGAACAAAAGAGGCATCATCAGGACCAGCTAATTCTTTGGAGGCTTCCCTGTGACTAACCTGGACTGGGGGGTGTGGACAAGGGTAGAGCACTTGCCTAGCATGCATGAGGCACCAGGTTCAGTCCTTGGTATCCACAGGACCACAGAAGATTAAAAGGAAAGATGGAGAGAAGAGGAGGGGCATGAGGAGGAGGAGGGAGGTTCTTTCCTTCCCCAAAATAATTGATATGGTAAAGAAGCTGACATAAAGTCACAAATATCCAGAGTGTGTCAGTAAGCAGCACTGACACTTCTAGTACAAGGTCCTCCACTGACCTGGTATTAAGAGCTGGTCACTTCACTCTCCCATGGGTTTTTATGCACACAGCAGGTGCTGTTGAGGCCTATTCCTATACAGAGAACACTATGCTGAACAAACCAATGAACTCTGACACGGAGCAAAAGGTTCAAGGTGTGCCAGGCTCACCAAGAGTCATTACTGACTCAAAGTCCTTCGTGTGTACTAAAAGCCAGTGACGGGGACTTAATATTTAATTCTTTGACTCTGCACAACAGGCAGCTGAAGTTTTCAATAGCAGAGGAACAAGACAAACCAGAGCATGTTAGAACACACTTCACCAGAGATTTATTTACACGTAAGCTGCATGTGTGACTTGAACACAACCATTCAGGAGAAAATTAGTATGTATACTAACAGAGTCAACAGAGCTGGGCTAGAAAGTGGTGAGCCAAGGGTAAAACCCAAGGGGAATCCCAAAAACGTAGTCACAAGTTAAAATTCCTTCCAATGTAATATTCTTAAAACTCAAAAATAACACACAAAATGATGAGCAAAATATCACATAAAAAGGAATTTTAATAAAAAAGTACCATTAAAATCCAAGACAAGAGAAAATTATCAGTAATATCCATCCTGACTTGGAAGTTTTGATTTCAGGTTCATCACAGATTGATTTGAGTCATTTAAATATTACATACAAATGTTGCTCATCGCAACTACTGGAATTTTTGGCGCTGAACCTATTGCCTGCCTGGCAGGTGCCTGCTCAGCTCATCTCAAACTCCAGGCCCTAGGGGTCAGGTCAGTTCCTAGAAAGGCAAACCAGATGGCCTGGGGGAACTCAGGCGCCTACCTGGAGACTGTCTCCAGGGAAGGACTGGGAGTGGGTGAGAGCGGCCTGGACTGGGGCACAGCCTACCTCGTTTGTTCTGGGATCCGTGCTTCTTGGCTAGGGCGAGTTCCCTCTGGATTCGGTTCTCCAGGTACTCCTGCTTCTTGGCCAGCATCTCCTCGGTCTCCCGGAGGCGGGCCAGGGCCTCCTGGGGACTGGGAGCGGCGCGGGCCCGGGAGGAGCGGGTCCCTTTGAAGAACTTGCCCAACTTGCTCATGGCTGGGCAGTGGGGGGCGAGCGGCCCTGCGCCCTGGGGACAGGTGAGCCACACAGCGAGCCGACTGTGCTCCTAGGAATCAACAAGTTGTTTCG